CAGATGGACCGCGGAGATTAGCGGAGCACAGAAGTGCGTCTCCACGTCCGGCCGCCGCACATCCCGCGCACATTTAGGCTCACTTCGGAGAGGCGCCTTTTGTTGTGGGGGATGTGGCCCTGTTTGTTTGTTTTTCCGGGGGCACGGGGTTAGCTTGGCCTCATAGAAGCACTCAGACATGAATCTGCCCATAAGAACAAAACCAAAGACCCTCTTCTCATCCACAACCACAACCAAAAAGCCGGGAGTGAGAGATCTTCGGTTTTTCCAAATGGTCAGCGCAGGAACCGCGGGAATCTGCCCCAGCGCGGGCCGTTGGCGCACACACCGGGCCCAGCTACCTTCCCTTTTCTTCTTTGGGGACTTTTAAAAAACCTGAGTGCTTTTCGGGGAGCGCGAGACTCAGGACAAGGAGGCTGGGGAGGAAAAGCCCCTGACAACTGAAAGCAGCTCTCAAATCAAAAAGCCGCCAGTGGTCCAGCGGGCTGGCAGCAGATGCGCCTCAGGGCGAGCGGGGGTCTCTGTGAATGAATGGAGTCCCCAGAGGCCGCGCTGACCCCGGGCGCGGCCCTGCTCGCTCCCCGACCCTGTCGATTCTTGTAAATTATTGGGTGTTCGCCCCATAGAAGAATAACGATCCCCCCAAACCCCTCAGTTCTGGCGTTTCCCCGTCACCCATGCACTATTAGACGCTTAGGAAATAAGCTGTTTGGTAAATTCCAAGAAGAGGAAAGCTTAAGTGTAAGTTAAACAAATAAGAGAGACAGGCAGAGGGTCCTGAAAGAGAGCATGTCAGAGAGGGGGAAAGAAATTGAGAACAGTGTCGCCTAATAAACAAGGTAAGCTTAGCTTTACTTGTGCTTAGTTATTCGTCTATAGTGATTTTCACAAACCCGCCCTCCCGCCCCCTCATCAAAGATTCTGCTTCTAGGTCTGACTGGCATCTCTGCCTCTCTCCCAGCATCTTCCTGTAGAATCAAAGCCTCTTTTCAGAGATAAAGTCTCTGACAGAGATGGTACACTGTGAACCAGGTAAGCACCGTTCACTTGAGTTTACTTATGAATCTGTAGCGAACAGCTCCACGTGTGCGGTGAAACTCATGTGAAATTGTTCATACAGGTTAATAAATAAGCACAAGTAAGCCCATGCTTACCTTGCTTATTGAGTGATCTGCCCCAGAAGGGGAAAGAAAGTGGAGAAACAAAACATCCCTGGGAATAGATGTTCGGTTCTGATGACTGCGGCAAGTTGGAGAACGCCTTCGTCTGAGGTGTATTTCCAGGGCAAGCATCATTCTGATAGTCAACCGTCCAGACTAAATGACTATAAACTATTTTTTGCGGTGGCTTGGTTCCAGAGCTATCCACCATTTTGATAAGGGTTTTAGATTCAGGATCATTCCACCCTCCCACCCCGTCTCCAAGAATGCATTTAGCAAATAGTTTCTGAACCCCGTTCTACATGAAGCGATGGGGGTGGGGGTGGGTGGCTGCGACCTGAGTTTCAGCTTGTCTTGGCTGGAGGACAGGGGGACAGACCTCTGTTGATTTTCCTTGCAGTTTGTTACAGGCCTGGTTCTGTTCAGCTTGAGGATGGTTTCAATGCAGTCCTCCTGCGCCATTGCTGCAATGCAGGAGATTTGCTCTCTCATCTTGCGGCATGGGGGGAGGGGAGCGGGGAAAGATGGTTTTGTAACAGGCTCTGCAGGCCTGAGTGGGAACGCCTTACATGATGAGCTCCGGGTTTAAGGGGGTGGGGAGAGCAGCTGATGCTGAATTAATAGTTAAAGCATACCCCTGGGGCTTTCTCCAATGAGGGGGTCTCTAGTCCTTTCCCTTCCCCCAATCACAGATTTCATATCTGTTTTTAACCAGTCTGATCAGATGCTGGGACATTTGTGATGGCTTCTTAAAACCCAAACCCTTGGGCTTAAGAGCTGTCTCTGCCCCTGATCAAACTCACCCCAAATACTAACACGTTAAGAAATTACATTGTAAAACCTCACCAAATCCGATTGCCCAGGCTGTTTGGGGCACATATGGCTGGACAGCTGTGCTGCTCCACGTGAAAAGACACCATTGCCCCACGGATGGTATAAAGCAGGGGATCCCCAGAGAGCTCAGACATGACCTAAGTATTAGCTTAGCCTGGGGTGAAGACTGAGTTAAATCTCTCTTTTCTTGGAGGTTAAAATAAAGACAACAACAAAAATCAAAAGAGGTGCACTTTTGAATTCATTGTAAATTGCTTGCCTCCTGCTGGTCCCACCAAAGGAAGGAAGGAAGACCGGGAGAACTAAACTCCCTCTGGACAGCTCACCACAAGCATCACATTAGACAAACTGAAGACAGAAGAGATGGAAAAGAAATACATCATTTGCAGGGGTACCATGTGTCGGTGATATTTGTGGGTCCCTGTTCAGAGGAGCAG